TTTCCGGCTGATCAGGTTGAGGCAAAACCACCTTATGCAATGATGCTGCCTTCATGTTGTGTCGACAGGAAAGAGCGTCATCATCGATCTTCTTTTTACAGTCGACACAATATTGGGCATGTCTTCATAGGGAATGGACTGAAAGTATGATTTCCCTTCAACTCCCAATTGGATTCGAATGGGATGCTCCTCGAGGAGGTCAATCTCTACACATACACGAGCCACCGAAGGTCGTAACATATTGAGGGTTAGCTTATCAAGTGATCCTTATTGAAGCGGTGAATTAGAAGACCTTCTAAGGAGATCCAAACTGGAACAATAGAACTTTCATGTGCTGGATTAAAGTCAGTGGTCCACTTTAAGACTCGCATCCGATGCTTGTCAAAGGTCCACAATCCTTTCAACCAGCAGCGATGGAAGTCCTCCTCGAGATCGAAACATATGAATATATGTCGATAATCTATGGATCCAATTGAATAGTTTCCTTTAAAGCCAATGATTTGGAATTCTCTACACAGATATTCCATTTTTGGCCAGCCTTTGGTGAATTTTCCTACTAAAGCAAGTCGAAATGGGGCTGCCAATTGTTCATCTTCTTCTTTAGTAAGAAGAAAGGTTGACTCGCCTTTGAAGAGTGTTGGTTTAGAGTGTATCACGGCTGGGATTGGAGTGTTGGTTTGCTGTTTTGTGGCATGATCGTGTAATGTTTTTGGGTTCAAATTAAATCCTAAGACCTGAGTGAAGGACGGCCTTTGAGGAGGTGTTGAGCCTAGAAGGGAGAGTAGAGAGATGGTAGACATGATTTTTTAGAGAGAGACTAATCACTTAAATTATTTTACATTTTAAAACCAATCTTTAATAAACAATCTTGGTGAGGGCGGCTATCATTGTTGCTAGCCTCCCTAGCTAGCTACGTCACTGGCAAGACTGCATTCGGAAAATAACTTTCATGGAATCCTATACATGGGAAAAATTATTCAGGAAAGAAATGCCAGAAAAAAAAATTAGGATTAACTATAAAGGAATCAAATCAATAGTTATCCTAATTTTGGTTAGGCTGAATAAAAAAAGCATTGATTTTGATTACTTTTTCTTATTGCATTTTTGCTTTGACCGAATACAAAAGGGAAAGCTCAGCACTAGTTAATTAATTAATTATAATATGATATACTCAATTAGAGATTTTTCTTTATACTTACCCAAGTTTTGCTTAGTTTTGATTATTTTGAATTAACTTAGATTTTGTCGAGAAAACAAAAATCCAGTGCATTAATCTTGATGAATTCTTATGGAACTCATAGAGAATTCCAATTTTGTTATAATTTTCATATTGAATGATATTTAAATTTAAATTTAGGTTTTAAATGCGAATTGATCAACTTTTATAAATCGAAAAATCGAAGGACCATTAGTACAAAATTCCATAGTGTAATTAGTTTTCTGTTAATCAATGAAACACCATTTTCTTTTAGCTTGATGAACAAAATCCTGATGTTTATCGTGTGAACAAAATATAGAAAAATACTGATGTGCATTGTGTGAACAAAATGAAAATTCTCTTTGCTTTGAGGAAGGAAGGCCTCCCACATGCCTTCAAACAGACAATCATAACCGCAGCGTGAGACGGTGAGGTTAGAAATCATTAAGTTTAATGTCGTTGTGGTATGCTATAGCTGCATTGACACCAACGTTGCACTCAATTCTATTGGAGGCCTGAAAATTCGATGTGAATAGCGCGTCAAAGAAGACAACCGGAAGAGAGATGGAGAAGATTTTGATTTGGAGGCAAGACTAAAAGCCACTTGGCGGAAGGGAGTTGATGTGCAAACAGATTGGGCATCTGCAGGCCGGTGGCAATGACCATGACTATAACCCCTTGGAGGCTTGGAGCCCAATCTAAAGTGCTATATATCTATCTGTTACACATAATACAATTGCCACAATGTTGACGGCAACAAAATAATCGATCATCAAATTCATGCTAGTCAGCAAACTTAAGGCAAAATCAATAACAGTTAATATAAAAGAAAAAATGGGAATATTAAATCAAACGAAAGGCAAGTTTACCGTTGTTTAACTCTATCATTGATATGCCACCCTTTTACATTCTTTCAAAATGTTTTTAAGGGGATTTGTATGGTTGTCGTGAAAAAAAGTTGGTGTGGATGAGGGAGTTTATATACCGGTACTAAGCGTCAATTGATCCTATAATTATAACAATGAAGTTATTTGCTCTAATGTAGGGATTGGGATAATCTTCTTTCTTGAAATCTTCTTTTTAATGGAATTATAATAATTTACACTTATTTCATCACTAAGAAGAATATGAATTATGATCGTATTGCCCTCATTCAGATCCCAGTGATTAAGGAACCTATGATTGTATCTCAAATTTGTAGTGAATGAAATTAATTATTTCATGTCATTATGCTTCCCGAGATTTTAGGGTAATAATAGCCATTTTAAACTTACAATTTAAATCAATCAATTTGAATAATTGGAGATTATTTTTTGTGAGGGATTAAATTTGATTAGTCCTGTTTTCCATTTTGAACTAAGTAATTTTTAAATATGATTTGTTAAACTTATAATTATAGAAAATTTGAAGGACTTTAGTATAATTGGGCAAAGATATATTTGAGAAATGCATTAGAAAATTGTCACATAGGATTTTAGAATTCTTTTTTGTTTTCTTTCTCTGGTTTCTCTCTTAGTATAATACTATAGATAGACTGTTTTTCCTAATTTTGACAATCATTTGGTGTGGGATGAATTTTGGTTAATGAAAGTTTTTATTTTTCCTAAGAAAAATAATAGTTTAATTTATTGATTGCACGGAATTATTGAAAACTCTTAATTAATTATTTCACTATTTTGCAAGTGAATTTAAGGTTTATGAGGTGTTGGAAGAGTTGCAGACAAAGGTGGATAAATTACCTAAGACATGATCTCAAAAGAGGCGCTTGGACTAAAACCGAGGATGATATGATTAAACAGAGGAACTATGATTTTTTGTAGCTGCTATAAAGTACAAACTAAGACGACACTACATACATAAAGAATGTGTATGACATGTCATTTTTTTCCCCATGCCCCTAAAGGAATCGCTTAGTTTGAACCTGGCACGGAAGGATCCTTGGTCGTTGGTGTTGCAAATTGGCTCTTTGGTTGTGAATGATTGGGTATTTAATAGTGTAAAGTCGATGGAATGAGGAGCTAAATTTGAACACCGTGCATCCATGCCATCTATAGGTGGAACATGATTGAAAGATGTCGAGAAGATGCATAAACTGGATCCAATGTGGCCACCAGGTGTGACATTTAACTGTTATAGTCGGCTGCTGCTAGGGGAATTTTTAGAAATACAACCTGAGCATTGTTCAAGGTTCTTATGAAAATCTGATTTGTTGCTCATTGAAGATAGCAGAGGTTGCTGCAATTATATCATTCTTTATAACTATTGTGGTGATTCATAGATGGTCTTACATTTGGTGTCAAGCCTTAGGGGCATCTTTTGTTCAATGAAAACAGTCTATGATATAAAGTTTTACCAAAACGCATTTAGCATAGACAAGTAACTATATATTCATTTTAATTTGTACTGGCTTTTATAGCTATGTTGTAGAATGACAATTTTCAGTTGTCAATACGTATAATTCTCTCTCTGTCTCTAACTGATTATCCAATTTGAATTTTCATTGTAGTATAATTGAACTAAAAATAAACCAGACAGTCATTTTGGGACAGAAGGAATATAAAATACCTGAGATGTTGTGTCTCTATATTTTATTTTGGTATATTATACACCCGGTGTCCAAAATCATTGTCCCGATTAATTCGAATTCGAGTTGGGTAAGTCTCATTGTCCCGATTAATCCGGATTTAATTTGGCTAAGTTCCTTTCAGTAGGCAAATCTCTCCCAATAGGTATATTACCAAGAAAATAATTACTAGAAAATGTTTTGGGTGAGAGAACGGAACTGAAGCATTCATTACCTAGCGACGTGAGTGAGTAACAGAATCATGAACTGACAATAATTAATTTTTCATTAATTTATTTTACTGATGTAAATTTTACTTAAAAAAATATGTGAAGCAATACGTGTCTGTAAAACAAAATCAAATTGAAAAGTCAAAAAGTTTAGATGAACACGGTGATTACTTGAATGAATAATTGTTAAATAACACGTATGTATATGAAAAACCACAACAACCCAGTTAATACAAGGAGTTCCTAGGTACACAACATTATTTTCCCAGTCCAAGGCAACATTAAAATCGTGTTTGGTGATAATCAGCGGCTAACCTGAAGTCCCTTCACGCATCAATGTCTCTTCTCTTCTATTTAATTGTTTGTTTTCCTTTTTCTTTTTTGAGGCTTAATAAATAATCTTACATTAAAACTACCATTTGCCTTTGGTAGTATTATGTTTCTGAGGAATTTGTACTACGTGATTCTCTCTTTCTCTCTCTTTTACACACACACACACTTAAGGGTAACATGTTGCTACTGTTTCTTAACTGGTAGGCAGCATTAGAATAAAAAGAAGAACATATGCGCATACTTAACTATGAAAGTGCTGGCCAATAAAATATAAGCATATACAAAATAACAAAAAATTCACGTAGACAACTGAGTGTCTATTGGTCATGCTGATTAATGTATTACAATATTAAAGATAAACGATGTGGATTATGCTTTCTGTTTTCAGAATGAGTGGAGCACTTGTTCGGCACATGCAAATTTACATATGAAACTCTTGAGTTATGGTCTAAAATTAACCAAACACTCTGTATAAGAATAGAGAAGCTGGAAATATTAAATTTTCTCTCTCTTCTTTTTTTCCTCTCGGCGCATGACACACTAACGTGTGCTAGCCATGGGAAAGGGGAAAATTAAGGGGACGAAAACCCAAAAATTGGCCAGAGAGCATGAATCAAATGTAAAAGAAATGATTGCAAGTAGGAATTCACCATTGGTAACAATCGGTATTGCAGATATGGAAAGAACGGTAAGAATTTAGGGAGTATGGGAACTTATTCATTGAAGGAGACTGGGGATTGTTTGTCGATCTGTGAAGGAATTGGGTCCACTGCAACATTTAGCAGCGATTAAAGATCTACTGGGGATTAACCAATCAAGGAAACTTGTCTGGCCAGAAGATAGCATGAATGAATTGGAACAACGAAGTACAACATCGGATAATTCTGATGCTAGTAAGATGAAGAAGGTTGGCGTCCCTTTATCATATGTTCCGCCAGAGGAGGTGGAAGGAAGAAAGGTAGCAATGGTACAGAAAAAAGCAGTATTAGAGCCTGAAGCCGAGTATTGGAGTACATCAGTGATAAGCTTTGTGTTAGGGGCAAATCCACTATTTCAGGTCATGGATCGATTTTATAGACAACTGTGGAAGCAACTTACTGTGGAAAAGGTAGTTTTGCTCCCTACTGGGTTATACCTAATTCGTTTTACATCCATTGATGCTCGGGATGAAGCAATGAAAGTTCCTGTTTATCATATGAGTGCCAATCCAATAGGTGTAAAGCTCTGGGTATTTGAGAAAGGTTTAAATTATCGTGATATTAAGCATGTGCCGGTTTGGGTACAATTTCTTGGGTTGGATTTAAAGTTATGGAAACATGATACTTTGAGTAGGATTGCTAGTACTTTGGGTACTCCAATAGTAGCTGATGAACTCAGTACTCATAAACATAGAGCTGCCTATGCACGTGAATTGGTTGATGTTGAAATGCAGGATCAACCTCCTCTGGTAGCTCACTTTGTAGATGAACTTGGAATGGTAAGAGAGAAGCCAATGTTTTATGAGTGGAAACCTACTCAATTTATTCATTGTAAAAATTTTGGCCATGGAGAAGAGAACTATGGGAAAAAACATACAAAAGTGGTGGAAAATATTTTAAAGGAAATAGGGTAACAGAAATAGAAGAAATGACTCACTGAATGGAGAGTTGTGCAATGGGGAAAGGAGAGGGCTGGTGACGGGGGTTCAGAGGTTCAAAACCAGGTTGTGCATTCAAAGTGTTAAAAGCATGGGCCCGGATGTATTCGAAAGTGGTTTCTTCAAAGGTGCTTGGAAAATCGTTGGAAGTGGTAGTGTTGAAATTTTTTGACAGTAGAAGATTGCTAAAACATGTCAATGCTACAACTCTGGCACTGCCTTTGAAGAATGATGCCCTGTAGAATGCTGGGGATTACAGACCAATTGTCTGCTGTAGCATGGTATACAAGATCATCTCAAAAATAATTTGTGTAAGACTGAAGGCAGTTCTACCAGAGGTGATTAACTCCAACCAAAGTGTAGTTTTAAGTAATCGTCTCATCTTGCATAATGTACTTCTTACAGAAGAACTTATTAGGTCGTATGGTAGCAAGAATATCAAGGGTAGGTGTATGTTGAAAAATGATATAAGAAAAGCATATGACTCGGTAGAATGAGATTTCATTGAGGAAATGCTTGTAGATCACCAACTTATAGATAGGGCTGAATGGTGAGAGCTGTGGCTAGTTTGAAGTGAAGAGGGGACTTAGACAGGGTGACCCTATGTCATCACTATTATTTGTAATGGCAATGGGGTATCTCACCTGAATGTTGAAAGAAGTTGTCAATGACCCTAGATTTCGGTTTCACCCATAGTGTAAGGGGTTGAAACTCACAGACATCAGCTTTGTAGATGATTTGATAATTTTTTGTAAAGCTAATAGATATTCTGTAATAAAAGTCATGCATGTTTTACAGGAGTTTTGGGTTGTTACGGGACTTGGTGCAAGCCCTAGCAAATTTGTAATGCATATTGGAGGTGCATCAGAGCAGCTCAAGCAGAACATGAGAAGCATATCAGGTTTCAATGAGGATAGATTCCACATGAAGTATCTTGGTGTTCCTTCATCGCCAAGAAAGTGGAATCAGACCGAGTGCGAAACCCTTGTGCAGAAAATGGGTGCGAAGATTCGGTGTTCGAGTTCCAGGCAGTTAAGCTAGCTGGAAGAATTCATCTGGTGAATGCGATATTAATGGCTATAAACAATATTTTGAGCTCAGGCTTTTATACTGCCTAAAAGTATAACACAAGAGTAAATAGAGTTTGCAGATAGTATGTTTCGGGGTTAAAAGTGAATGGGAGGAGTATGCTTGGTCATTTCGGATCTGGTTTGTCGTGCAAAGAAAAAAGGTGGACTGAACATATGAGATGCGCGCAAATATCGAATGAAGCAGCACTGATTAAGCAACTACGGAATCTAGCCGGTCAACCTGATAACCTGTGGGTGAAATGGATGCATGGGGTGTATTTAAAAGCAAAAACTGTGAGGGATAGCCAACCAAATCTGGATTCCAGTTGGTACTGGAAAAAATTGTTAATATTGAAGGACATGATTAAAAGTGAAGCGGAAGGGAACAAATGGAAGCATACTGTTTCTGGTAAATACAATATTAGTTCTAGATAGAAGTGTTTAATGGGAGATCAGCAGCCATGTCCAGCTTATGTGTTTATTTGGTCACGTTATAATGTGCCAAAGCATTCATTTATTACTTGGATTTGTTGGAGGAATATGCTATTAATCAAGGACCGAATCAGTAAAATCATGTTGGATCATGTTGATCCTGTCTGGGTTCTATATTAGCGGAGCCAGGAAGATGCAACGCATTTATTCTTCTGTTGTAGTTTTTCTACTGAAGTTTTGAATGCAGTGAGTGGCTGCAAATCAAGTTACCTTGTAATCAGAATGGATGGAGAAGAAAAATTATGTGCATTCGGAGAACTTCTAAATTGAAAAGGAAAGTGCTCTTTGCTGCAGTATCTGCAATGATATATCACCTTTGGGAGGAGAGAAATGACCGAAGCTTTATTGGAAAATAGATATTTGGCATGTAGCTGGTGTAGGTGATCAACAGAAGGTGTACTGGAGAGGGCAGAATTATCTTAGACAGCCATTTATCGAAGCTGAAAAGGCACTGTTGAAATTAGTTGTTTTGAAAGTTGTATATGTCCTTGTTTTAGTTTGAAGCCTAAGTGGTAGTTGTAATGGTGTTGCTTTTGGTTGTCAATATATGCTTTAAAGCAAGTAATCAATATATTCACAATTTCACAAAGAAAGTACACAAAATCAAAGAAGCGACTTTTGTTTGTTGCCAATATAGCATGTGTGTAGTATATTTGGAAAATTTTCAAAGAATGTCAAGACCGTTGATGTGGTTTTTGCCAAAATTAAATAGGAATTAAAGTGGACGATGATCAAAGTAAAATGAGTCTGTATTTTGATAGAGTGCAGTATTGTAGACTTGTAGTGTTGCTATGTGAATGTAACTGTGTGTAAATATGTGGACCTTATGATGATGAGTAGTTTATAATTTATATTTTACCTAAAAAAAAGTGGACGATGATGAACTGCTCCAGGAAAATGAAGATGGCTTTTTATTATTATTACTTCTTCCATCTCAGGAAAATAGTTCACATTAAATTTAATGAATAATTTTTTGTTTTTTGGGACAGAAGAAGTATTTTCTTTTCTGGTGACATTGGACTATTAGATTAGCTGAGTTTTCAAGGGTTTTCCTTAGATTTTGGTAGATTAATTACTATTAAATAGATACGTACAAATTTCAGTTTTATTTTTTAGTAGATTTGTTCTTCAGTATCAAAATAACTTAACTCTTTTATTTTTCTGAAAATACCCTTTTTTCTCTCTAGCCTAAACCCTAGTCGTGACGGTAGTTGGAGCATCGACCATGATGGCCAGAGCTCAAGGATCGGTAGCACGGCAAGAGCTGTCTAGATCATTTGCTAGTTTCTTCAAGAAGCCTGATGATGTATCAATCCGGAAAGACTCTTTAATTAAGGAGATAAGGTTCGTCAATGGCACTCCAGCTTTGGAATTTGAAGATGATGAATTTGAGAAACTAATTTCCCCTCATTGTTTGTGCTTGGTTGGGAAATTTTCATATGGGAGGCCGAAAATGGAGGAAATGCACAAACAATTTAAGAAGATCGGTTTCAATGGTGGCAACATATTGGGTCTTATGAACCCTAGGCACGTGTTGGTCCGAATTGAGTAGGAAGATGATTATCAACGTTGTTGGATAAGGACATTCTAGAATATAGGCGGATTCTCAATGAGGATTTTGAAATGGACTCCTGGTTTTCATTTCAAAGAAGACCCACCGATGGTGCCTATTTGGGTTTCTCTCTATGACTTACCCATTGAATACATGCATCTGGAGGTGATTTATTCGATGGCTACTACTTTAGGGCAGCCTTTGAAGGTTGATACACCCACCTTGAACATGACTCGCCCCTCTGTCACGCGTTTTTGCATTGAAATTGACCTAACCAAAGATTTGCCAAAATCGGCTAGGGTTGGAAAGAAGGGTCGTAACCATGACCAATTATTTACCTTTGAGCACATTCTGTCTTACTGTGTTAAATGTAGTAAGATTAGTCACAAGGATTCGGAATGTCGGATTGGACAGCCTCTTCAGTGGAGTAAGGATGTTGAGCCCAGAGTCGTGAAGAAGAAGGGGATTAAACTAGCTCCATCGAAACCTAAGCGGTCTTTCAAAAAAGGGAGTGGTAAGCCTGGTTTGGATGTAGAAATTCTGAACTTAAACCCTTTGATTGGTAAAGGGATTGAACCGGAAGTGATGGAGTCGTCTGTTCCTTCATCGTGCCCTGTAGAAACCCTAGATGCGCGTGCCCTTGAAGCCAAAGTTTCGTAAACCCTAGAGCAGCGACGGGTTGAATCGACTTCCGGTTTGACGATGAAGGAGAAGGAGCTAATTTTGGTTGATCTTCAGCCATCTCCTGAAAGGAGTGAATTGGTGCCTGAATCAATGATCAACCCAAATCCTCAAAAAAACAGGAAATATGTTTTCGGCGCTACAAGGTTTGGATGAAGGTGATATTGAATTGCCTCTGGAGAAAGACAAAAGTGCCATCGCAACTGCTCTTTTCTCTAAAATACTCCCTCCTACGGTGACCACAAATCATTTTGCAGCACTCGAGATGATAGAGGAGGGGGTGAACAAAGTTGTTAGTGTGGAAGGGGAAGAGTACGTTGAAGATGTGTACATCGAAAGCCCTCCTACTCAGCATGAACTTCAGAATGACACTGAGATAGCTGGTGCCTCCCAAGAGGTACTGATGCTTGAGAACTCGAGTCCCTTGGAATCTGGAAATGTTCTGACGATGGTGACATAGGAAAAGTCTCTAAACCTGTGGAAATGGAAGATGTTGATAGCGGCGTCTGGTCAGATGGTGATGCCGACAATGTTCATGTAACAGGATCAGTGCAAGGGGATGGTTCTGTACACAAAAGGCGTGGTCGGAAGTCGAAGGAAGAGAAAGCGAAAATGCAAGGAGTGCAAGGGGAGTTGGCCCCAAGGCGGTCTTTGCGGCTGTAGTAGAAGGTTGCAGTCTTTATATATTTTTCTTAAAGTTAAGTCAAATAATATGGAACATTAGAGGAACAAAAAATCAAGCTTCAGAGTGAAGTTTGAGGACTCTCATTCAATCATATAGAGTTTCCTTTTTAATAATTTTGGAGCCTATGCTGGGTTTGGATCAACTTGAACGCGTTCGGAGAGAGTTGAATTTTGATACGGCTTTTGCTTCCAGTACTAGCAAGATTTGGGTGTTTAGTCAGCATGAGTTTTCAGTAACTATGTTGGAGGAAGATGTTCAGGTCTTCCATTTTGAAGTATCTCATGCCAATGTTGCTGAAAAATTCTATCTCTCGGCGGTCTATGCTAAAACCACCAGATTGGTGCGGCAGTCTTTATGGAGGAATCTGATTGCATTTCGGCAGAAGTATGCGAATTCTCCATGGATGGTTGCTAAGGATTTCAACGTAATCCAATCATTGGATGAATATTCAGGTGTTTCTGTACAGGATCATGTGGCTATATCTGAATTTAATGACTGTATTTTTGAATGCAATCTTCTTGAGTTTCCGACAACGGGAGAGGAGTTTACATGGGCGGAACTCAAAGTACAGGATGGGTGAACAAAAAACTTAACAGGGTTTTGATCTCCGACGAATGGAATGACTTTTTTCCTCGCTCCTCAGTGGAGAATTTGAATAGGACTACCTTTGATCATAGTCCTTTGTTGCATTTAGTTGCTGCGCAAGGTGAAAGCAAACCGAAGATTTTTAGGTTTCAGAAAATGTGGTTACGTGGGGATGATTTTAAGGGGATTGTTAAAGATTGCTGGGATCAACCAATGGAGCAAACCGGGATGCTTTGTTTCTCCTTGTAACTCAGACGTTTAAGGAGGTGTTTGGGAATGTATTCAAAAATTTGAAACTTGCGGAAGAGAATGTGCAGCGCCTTGAAATTATTTATGATTTATTAAGGTCGGAGCATGATAGAATTAATCTTAATGAAGCTAAGGCTAATTTTCTATCAATGTAAATGTTGAATAAAACATTACCATATTCATATTACAAGCGTTTTTTTGTTTAACTATTCTATATTTTCATTATGAATGAAACCATTAAATATTCATAGGTTATATTTTTGCTTTCATAGAAAATTCATAAAATAATAAATAATTTTGCTTTATCTAAATTATAATTTCAATTTGTTTTTGTTTATCCCATCCAAAAGACCGATTTAATACCTAGTAACCTTTTATGATAGACTGCATTTTTAGTGACTTTAACTACATTAGAAAATTGCGGAAATAGTTTCAACGTTCTTAATGCGTTATTGCCAAATCCCATCATTAAGTTCTTGGACCTAAAATAGAGTGTAGCTTATGACACTTATTCAAAAAATGTCTAACTACCATTTATAATAAATTACTACGTCGAAGAAAAACGTTGACTAAATGCCTCGTAGAAAAATCTAAACTCGAGTCATATATAGGATTCTTTTCTGGAAATAATATAATCTTTAGCACAAAATCATCAACTTAGAATTTACTAAATAAAAAACACATTCCTCATTATCTAGAAAACAAGACAACAAATTTACGAAATCTACACATACAACTAGCTACATTACAAAATACAAATACGACCTCTTGGTTGATCCTTTTACCACTTTGGAAGAATCAGAGAGTAATCGAAGTCGGTTTCCAGTTCTGAAAGAGATGACTACATTATTATTAGTTTAGCAAAAATTATTATAATGTAGGAAACAAGAATTCCTCTGTCCCAAAATTATCTTAAAATTATTAGACATTGCAACTGTCAGCGTCTCAAAGTCGGCCATCAACTTAAAATTATCTTCTACCTGGACGGTTATCTCCATTAACTCCAAGGCTCTTCTCAACACTTCTCGTTCTTTTCTCCTTTCTTCTGCTGCATCCTTTAGATTGTAAAAAATAATTTCTTTGGACCATCTCTTCTTGGCGGCTTTTTCAACGTCGCCGTGGTGGCTGGTTTCGCGTCATCTTTGGGAGAAGAACATACCTTATAAGATTATCACATTTCGCCACATTGTTCAGATTTAACCATGGCCATGTTCTTCTCCTTTAGCTTCTCTTTCATTAATGGATCTATATCTGCCTTCGGGTTGCTTTTGAGAGTTGCCACGCCATTAGACTTCTCTGACACCCTAAAATCTTCATCTTCAGGGGAAGTCATAATACTGGAAATTTTGCGCTTTCCACTTGAAATAATTGAAGACATGGAAGGCAGAGTGTTGTTAATATTATGCTCTAAATGTTACACCATATTTGCATGTATTTTCTGGTAACTAAACATAGAAGCAAAGTTAGTCGTTTCTCAGCCCTTGAAACATTTAGGAAGTTCAGCAATAAACAAATTTAAAATTGAGAAATCTCTGCTAGGGATCATTCACGCCTTAATTATACATGCTACTACTTTAGGTTGCTTTTAAGGAAATCTCACTTGCAATACACTCATTCACAGTACTATTATTTGTTATAAATACACAAAAAATCAGTTACAGTAAAGCATCCAAACAATACGCCAATAAAATTTTGGCCAAATGCATGATTGATTAACGAAATATCTAAGTTCATCATCAGATTCTAGCCATCACTTGAGAATGGATCGAATTTCCGCAAAAGATTTTGCATTGTCAATTATAGCAAAAAGTTTACCTTTTCAATCACGGACTCCAGGAGAAGGGAGAAGAAAAACTTGCCAGACGGTCATCAACTGCTTAGAGCAGCGGCAGGAGAAGGAGGGAGAAGAAAAAAAAGAAAAAAGAATTGATCAGCTAAGAATTTCTTCCTCATCCCTCCCACTTTGCTCGGCTTCATCTTTGCTGATTCCTTATTCTTCCGGCATGATTTCTCCGTCGACCAACCTCTAGATTTAGCAGCCGCCTTTGAAGAGGTTTTGGCTAACTGAACTTTCATGGTCGATAATCGCAAGTCCTTCTTGCAATTAGGAGAATTATTAGTTTCAGAAGATTTCATCGGATTATCCACCGTATTGTGATGAGATTTTCGATTATTCACCGTGTTCAAAAGTTTCCTTAACTCCCACACCGGAGAATTGTCCAACTCTCTGGCTGAGAAAATCCCTAACTTCTTGAAGAGCTCAAAATCTTGTTCACCTCCAAATAATTCTCCGCTGAAGGAGCATACATCATCTTCTTTATCGATGTTGTAGCAGCCATCTTCTTCTCCATACAAAAAAAAAAGGTAAATTGCTAATAATCCATTGACCAAGGACTGAAATTCATTTTTTGTTCACTGTTCAATTTTAATTTCAAAAGTAGCCTTATATTATTTTCGGATTGCAAAATACTTCCCACAAGTTCTCTTTTTGTTTTTATTATAATTTTTAAAAGTGAAAATTCAAATTAAATTATTATTCGTGACCAAACGACTTTATTTTTCCCTTAAGAATACATGCAAATCATCCACTCTAACGCTACATGGTGCCTCTTTACACACACATCATGCAGCACAATCATTACTATAATACGAAGTGAGATGTCCATCATACAGAAAGACACAATTTTCCAGAACAAAGTAATTTAGAAGATCCACAATATTTTATACCTTAATAAATTTTATGCAATTATTACTACATTAACATTTATAATACTATAAACACTTAAATCTACTTTTTTAAATATTAGTTTACAATAGGAGAGTATAATTAAATAAAATAGCCCAACCTACATCGAACATGTCTCACTAAAACCTAATTAGCTTACACGTTATCTACTGTTGCACTATTCACTTCTTTGATGGCACATTTTTTAAAGTTTTTAACTAGTATTTGAACCCACTCACAAGTTATTTACAAAGTCATTTATGGGCAACATTTAATAGGTCCAAAGAAAATTAGCCATTTATCATAAATGTTTTCCGTATCAATTTGACCAGTTCAAATCTTGTAATGTGTAGTTATTGCTTGAATTAAGGAAATATTGCCTCTTTTCATTGTACCAAAAAAAAAAAAATCAAATATTGCCTTGATAACTAACCCAAATAGATGGCGCTCAATAGTACGATATTTATATGATCGTCGAGACAATAGCAAAATCTCAATGAGAGGAGTGTGCAAAATTGTGGAATAACAAAATCATGAGCCTAGGTAGAGCGACGCTGGTGGTAATCTTCTTACATTATTGATCTAAAGAGGTTGTTGTTGGCATCTTTCTTGTTTATTGTTTTTGTTTTTCTTTCTCTTTTCGTTTTTGGCCTGTTCCCTTTGAAAACTGAGACTATGCTGGTAGATGCTTGATTGTGACTTTTCGGAAGTTTGAAAACTTTTGTGCCTCAAACCTTCCCAAAAAATCCATTTATGAAATAATCTTTTACGTATCGATTAGGAACAATATGTATTGTTAAGAAATGCTACAAAGATAAATATATAAGATGATTCTAAGAGTTTTAATTACAACATCACTCAAACATCATCAATGATAGAGTTCTGTCAATTATAGTAACTTGCGAGACACTAGAAAAAAAAAAGCATTAATAGAAACAAAAACATTGAACAAAAACATAGCATCCATTAACAACATTTAAGGTTTATTTCAGAAATGGATACAACTCAATTAATGCTTTAACATAACAAAAATAAAAGGAAAAGAAGAGAGAGAGAGAGAGAAAGTAGAGAGAGAGAAAGATTACAACTTCAACTGGACATAAATAAGCACAAATTGATAATAAACAGTGTTCCAAAGCTTTATTAAGACGACTACTCCCCATACACGGATCAAGGCTCATCGTTATCATTCTCGATATCAGAATCAGGCTCATTGGCAGCTTTTTTGGGGAAAACAAAGGTGACCAATACTTCATGGATATTGTGGTGGGTCTTTCCTCGAAGCACTGGGATTTTCACCCTTCCCGAAAGAGGAAATGTGATACTAAAGTGTCCAACGCATGCCGCGATGAACCATAGTAATCTGGCCAACACGACCCTCACTGACATCCACAGTTCCTTTAACATGCAAACCCACCTTACCTCTTGTCCTCTCATACTTCAAGAGTGCTACAAGTTAGAGAAAATAACTAATTAAACAGCAAATCTACTACACTTATTTCTAATTAATAATTATGCGAAAATGTCCATTTGGGTCATTTATAAAAATTGAACAGTAACGAAATTAAAAAAGTTAACTTACTCAATCCTGCAACACTCTTGCATGGGACCTTGATCTTAACATAATACATTTGAGGGAAGTCCATAACAAACACCGGTCTTGGCTTAGCAGTAGCATGGCTCACCATCCCTGTTACCTGAACAGGTGGATAAAAGACTGGCCCATATTGTAGTGCTTGCGGCTGCGCCTGAGGTTGCACTGGTGGTGGTGCCACTGCTGCAACCAAATCGTTGTTGTTGGTTGGAACTGCAACATCATGGGTATTAGTAGAACTAGCACTTCCACCACCAGCTGGAACAATGCTGTTATTTGTAGAAATTTCATCCTCTATGGAATTGAGCTAATAAAAGCAAGCATAAAGTGTAGAAGTAACCAACTACGTCTCCAATGTTTGGCTTTATAATAGAGATATCTTTGGTTAAGGTCCACACTTTGCTTGCATGCAAGAAACACATCTGCCAAGTGTCTCAGTTGATTGACTAGAGTTAATGTCATGTCATTGAAGAGTTTATGTTGGCATGTTCCTCAACCAGTTGCCTTTTCCCCATTGAGGTCAATATGAGATACTTGGCTACGATTTTTCTTATGTACTACAATGTAAGGGTTGGACCAGGGGTATTGATAGGATCTTTCACCATGAAACAGAAAACAAAACAAAACAAGAGTTTCGAGTAATTTTTTATGTGCAAGTTTAATGACATGACTCTACATGAGTACTGATGTTTATTGCAAAGTTATACTTGCAAACATTACACATACCACTTTGTAATAAAAACTAGTATGATTTCTCTTTTTGTTTTTAAGAGAAATCCAGGACGGTGCCTGGCGGGCATCTTCCCGATTTATTAGTAATAATTAAAGATAGAAGAGGAAATGCTTCAAACTTACCCAATAGAATAGCCGTCTTACAAGGATTTTCTAAAATTTTCATGAAGGTTCTGGTACAAGTTAAAATTAAGAATTGTCTTACAAAGATTTTTCTAACAAGCCCTTAATAGTTCTCAGTGCAAAAACTTTTTAAGAAAACTACAAACACCAATTCCTTAAAATTCCTATCTACTACCTGTTTTCTTCTCATACAAGGAGTTGATTTTTGATCAAGGATGAACATTTCTTGAATATGATTAGGCAATTGTGACCAATTTTCAAACTCTATAGTTAATCCCACTGATGCCAATTTTGCAAGTATATATGTAGCTGAGTTAACTTCCATGTAAACATGCTTGAGCTTGTATTGCATTCTTTCCAGTATTGCATCTATTTCATTGAGTTTTATTACAAATATCGAGTGTGAGAAACAACAAAGTGCATCTATATTTTAATGCAACAGTTCCAATTCCCACCGATATTGTTTTGTGAGAACATGCTGTTGTGCTTTGTTGAGAGTGTAAGTATACATATCTTTGTAATAAGGATCCTCAAAGTTTATTAAGCTTGATATAGTGTTAGATCAAGCAAAATTATTTTTATTTCCTACAAAGGGATATCAACACTCAATTAGAGTTCCACAAAGAGTATACTACATGTTCACATTTTATTTGAGTCGAATTATCGTTCCTTAAGTTTGGAAAAAAATAATGTGATTATAGATATATATGCATATGAAGGTTCGGTGAGTGCAAAGAGTCATAGTTATATATAATTTCTTCTAAGAAATAGAAATTTGGATAACTTGCTGCAGTATATTCTTTTCAGCTTAAGTCTACTAAATTTCTATCTCCATAAAACTTCATAAACAGCTGTCATCCAAAAACACTAATCTTTCACTATTCTCTACCAAAAACAAAATAATAATAAAATCGATTAATATCTTTGAAATATAATCAAAAGATAACCATTAGCATTATAATAAAATAGATTTTATTATTACTATCATATACTCACTTAACAGTTGGGATTTCATGCTTCAGAAAAAGCACTCCATATTCTTTCATCAATAAAGAAAACGTTCATAATCCTAAAAGTTAGTAAGGGAACATTTTATAACTCATTATATTGCTTAGATAGTAACATATGGATCATGTTTTCTATTTGCAATATCAAATCTAAAGTTCATGTTAAAATCAACAGCATTTGCGGAAATAATATGTGTACAACTAGGGGCCTAAACTGGATTGGAGAAAGCAGTTAATGTTATGAAAAAAGGGTGAGTGCTCAGGAAGTCAAGAAACTAGTATGGAGTGTTCACAGTGGAAAAAGCCCCGGCCCGGATGGATTCGAAAGTGGTTTCTTCAAAGGTGCTTGGAAAATCATTGGAGGTGAACTTCTGAAAGTAGTGTTGGAATTTTTTGACAGTAGAATATTGCTAAAACATGTCAATGCTACAAACTTTGGCACTAGTTTTGAAGAATGATGTCCTGCAGAATGCTGGGGAGTACAGACCAATTGCCTACTGTAACATGGTATACATGATCATGTCAAAAATACTCTGTGTCAGATTGAAGGCAGATCTACCAAAGGTGATTGACTCCAACCAAAGTGCAGTTTTAAGTAATCGTCTCTTCTTGCATAATGTACTTCTTACACAAGAACTTAATAGGTTGTATGGTAGGAAGAATGTCAGTGGTAGGTGTATGTTGAAAATTGATATAAAAAAAGCATATGACTCGGTAGAATGAGATTTCATTGAGAAAATGTTTGTAGGATATAATTTTCCTAACTCATTTATCAGTCTAATAATTAAATGTATTAGATCACTAACACAGAATAGGGCTAAATGGTAAGAATTGTGGTTGGTTTGAAGCGAAGCGAGAACTTAGACAGTCACCGCTATTATTTGTAATGGTAATGGGGTATCTCATCCGAAGGTTTAAAGAAATTGCCAATGACTCTAGATATCGGTTTCACCCTTAGTGTAAGGGATTAAAACACACAAACATCTGCTTTGTAGATGATTTGATGATTTTTGTAAATCTAATAGATATTTTGTAATGATTGTCATGTAGATTTTGCAGGAATTTTGGGCTGTTACAGGACTTGATGCAAGCCCTAGCAAATCAGTAATGTATATTGGAGGTGCATCAGAGGAGCTCAAGCAGGAACTGAGAAGCATATTAGGTTTCATTGAGTGCAGATTCCCCATAAAGTATATTGGTTCCTTTATTTCCAAGAAAGTGGAATCAGACCGAGTGTGAAATCCTTGTTCAGAAAATGGTTGCAAAGATTCGGTGTTCAAGTTCCAGGTATTTAAGCTATGCATGAAGAATTCATCTGGTGAATGTGGTATTAATGGCTATGAACAATTTTTGAGCTCAGGCTTTTATACGGGTGCTTGACTTTTGGGTGAGCCAAACCCAAAAGTGTGGAACAAAAAATGTGTAGGGTTTATTTTGTAGACAAATATAATCTTCTCGCGTTTTGAAAACGCGAAACAATCAAATTAGATTAACATTTCGCGTTTCACAAACGCGAATAATGTTAATTCCATGCACTCAGATTCAAACGGGTCGAAAGCAAAAAAAAAAAAAAGAAAAATCGGTTTTTCGCGTTTTAGAAACGCGAAAAACATAGGACGCGTTTGCAAAGCGCGAAACTTTGTTTTCGCCTTTGCAAAGCGCGAAACTTTCTTTTCGCGTTTTCAAAACGCGAGAAACTATTTTCGCGTTTAAAAAATGCGAAAATCTGTAAGTTTAAAAGTGTAAATTTTGCAAATAAGAATTTAGCGTTTTGAAAACGCGAAACAAAATTTCTAGCGTTTTCAAAGCGCGAAAAATAGATTTAGCGTTTTTAAAACGCGAAAATATCCAGAAAATCTCCTCATCCACTCACCCGTCTCCACGTGTATTTTTTATGATAAGTCTGGAATGTATTCGCGTTTGTTAAACGCGAAATTTAAGATTCATATATAAAACAAGCTTTAACAGCATTTCTCCGCAAATTTCTTTCATTGTTCAGCTCCGAATTTTCTTTCCAAATTTCTTTCATTCTGTTGAACTCCGATTTTAAGTTTTACTCCGGAGGACTTGCTGAATTCGTGAAAACTCTCATTTTCTTCAAATTGAGAAGTTGCTCCGAGGTTAAAGAAGATTGATTTGAGTCCTGAAGCCTATTTAAAACTCTAAGTTTTAACATTGAGGTAAGTTTATTTCGTTATTAAAAACATGTACTTTTTTATGTTTTATTATGAGCATAGGATGATTTACGCATTATTATTAGTTAATATATAATTGTGATTTAGTCAATTAACGGTGGTTTTTTATTGAGGCTGATAAAGTAAATTGAAAGAAATATTAGTTAATAGAATATTAAATTAGATGAGCATTGTAAATTATTGTACATCGATTTCTGTAAAATAAAATAAAATTATAATAATGATATTGAATTTTTGAATATTTACAGCATAAGAATAAATTATGTAATTCGGGCATAAGGTTTAGATTTAATATTAATTTTGAGCATACAAATGAATTTGTAAATTCAGGCGTATAGTTGTTATTTTAAAATTATTAAATCTGTATAAACGGGGTAAATACTATGGCCGCAAACTGATTTCGTAGGAATTGATTTTGCAGGCCGCAAATGTCTTTCACGGAGACAGTTCGTCTGAAATTATACTGGAATACTACTTATACAACTGAACCTGATGGGACTATCACGGTACAGCGGGATGCGCCGGACGGTTATCTTATCATTGATCGTATGTTAGATTTCTCGGAACTTGTTGATAAGGTATTAAGTGTGATCGGAGTTGATAGAGAAGGGCTTTATATTGATTTTTCTTTGGTATGGACGGAGAGGTCAGGAAAAAGGTCTCGTGTGCACATTAATGATGATAATACTGTTCGGTTCATTTATTTTTGTGCTGATAAATGGCCAGAATTGTACCCTGAAAAAGTTGAGAGAACAGGCCATGTTTATGCAAGTACATCTGGCCAGGATATTGGTGCCAGCACTAGTGGTGGTAGAACAGTTGAAGACAATGAAGATGGAGATGAAGATGGAGATGAAGATAAAGATGAAGATAAAGATGAAGATAAAGATGAAGATGCAGATGAAGATGAAGATGTCGGGGTGTCGAAAGCAGTGATGATGAGTACGTCCCATCGGATGAGGACTCAGATGACGACACTGATTTTGAGTCATCTTCTTCAGTCCCATATGTTTTCGACGACATAAGTGGATGGGACAAGACTTTAGAGGAAGTAGAAAACGATGGAATTAAAATGTGGGATGGCAATCCGTTGACGCTAGGCCTTGATATACATTTTGCCAACAAGCCTGAGGCACAAGCGGCAGTGGGAGAATGGAACTTGGTACATGGTCGGACTTTCCGGGTGAAAACGAGCTCTAAACGAACATGGTATGTCGAATGCGAGACGTGTGGACCTAAATATCCGAAAGAGCGCCTTCACGGCTATGATTGTCTGTGGAAGGCGCGAGTTTCGCTACAGAAGGCCACCGATACTTGGAAAATGGTGGTATGGTCCGATTCCCACAACTGTCTTGGGGCAAACAAGAGAAACGAGTCCCGAAATGTCACGTCTTCTATGATTGCTAGACTGGTTGCCCAAAATGTGCGAAAACATCCAGATTTTGCAGTTGCCCAAATTCAAATAGAAGTGATGAAGAGGTACCAAGTCGAATGTAGCTACAAGAAGGCATGGCATGGTAGAAGAAAAGCACTTGAGGCTCTGTATGGTACATGGGAAAGTAATTTTCAACAATTGCCCAGCTTCCTCAATGCATTGTTCATGTCAAACCCGGACACTTGTGTGCAATTCAAGTTTAAGGAAAATTCAAGAAGCTCACAAAGGTTTGTATGTAGGTATGTTTTCTGGGCATTTGGGCCATCTATACGCTTATTTCATGCTTGTTGGCCGTAATAACCATCGATGCCACTCACCTGCGAGGATCCTACAAAGGAAAACTAATTGTGGCATGCGTAAAGTGCGCAAATGGCACGATTGTTCCCATCGCATTTGCTCTTGTGGACGAAGAGACTATACACAGCTGGAAATGGTTTTTGAAGTATTTGAAAAAGTTTGTTCTACAGGATAGGAAGACCTGTATTATCTCTGATCGAAATCAGGGTATCCTTACTGCCATGGACATCATGTTGCAAAAATTCCCAGAGATGGGCGTCCACCGTTATTGTCTAGAGCATGTTAAAGCAAACTTGGTTGGGCATTTTCGAAAGGAGAAACTGCGAGGCAACTGTCAAATGATTGGTTCAATGACGCAAAAGACAAGGTTCTTGGCAGAGTGGCAAAAATTAGAAGAAAAAAATGAGCCTGCTGCTCGTTGGCTTCAGAAGCTGGGTGTTGAGAAATGGACCTGTTTACACGATGGAGGGCATCGTTGGGGAGAAATGACCACTAACATCTCAGAGAGTTTCAATAATGTGCTGAAAGGTGCTAGATTCTTCCCGATCACAGCATTGATCCTAGCATCCTTTCAAAAAAGCAACAATCTGTTTCAGGCAAACATTGATATGATCCAAAAATGTCAGACTGTTCTACCTCCTACTCCAATGAAACTGTATGAAGAGGCCCGGAAGAAATCATTGAGGCAAAAGGTCAACCAGTTTAGCAAGAGAAACCAGAAGTACGAAGTGGTTACAATAGCACCTGATAATCAACCATGGAAGGCTGACGAGAAGCAAGTTGTGCTGTATGCAAATCGAGAGTGCACTTGCGGAAGGTGGCAGACTTTCGATTTCCTTGTTCCCATGCACTTCGAGTTGCCCGTGAGCTAGGTGACGATCCCTTCCCACTTTTTGATCCATGTTACACTACGCATCAATGGTACCAACAGTTTTATGGAGAATTCAACCCAATCATGGAACCATGGCCAAAGGCAACGTGGCAGATCAGGCCAGATGACACTAAACTTGTCCACCATGCTGGCCGAGGTCGGAAGCGTGTGAATCGAAAAAGGTGTGATGGATTATACAAGCAAATCTGGCCAGCGAAGACTCCAAACTTGCAGTTTATGTAAGCTACAAGGCCATAATGCCAGGGCTTGCCCATATGCAAGAGTTTGCGCACGATGTGGAAGTTTAGATCATGATGCTGTCGAATGCCCTTTTTCTCATCCACCTGCTGACAGGACCGGTATTGATAAACTGTATGATCCATATGGAATTCATGGTGTGCCTAATATCAATTCTGATGATGATGATGATGAAGCGTAGTGATTATTCTGTTAGTGTTCGTATTTTTGTATTGTTTTGAACATTCATGTAGTAAACCTCAGAGGATGATTCAGTTTGCGTTTGTATTTGTTTTACTATGTTGGTTTGGATGTTTCTGTAATTTATATTAGTAATGTTTTTGTAAAACCGAAACGTCGCAGTTCATTTTAGTAATATTATTAATTATTACTATAGGATATATACATGTCGAATAAAGCACTAGTTATTTGATAAACAACAAAGGTAAGAAAATTAGTTATTTGTCATCACCGAAATTAATATAACCATATATCCGGCTTAAAGAATAAACGACTAAAATTTTAAATTGGGGGAGTATTATTCTCGCGTTTGTGAAACGCGAAACGAGGGGGAGTATTTTTCTCGCGTTTCAGAAACGCGAAAATAGGGAGGGCATTATTTTCGCGTTTCTGAAACGCGATTTTACTTAAAGATTGGTTGTTTTCGCGTTTTAGAAATGCGAAAATGGGTGCATAAATTAAATTTTCGCGTTTCGGGTTGATGTTTCTCAAACAGAACCATATATCCGGCGTAATCCATTGAAACCGGCGGTTTTTCCGGGAGAGTTGCCGGAATTGTTTCGGCATCAATTTTTTGCATTTTGTAGGCTATATATCGAGGTAAGTTGTGTTTTTTGCTCTGATTTAATCGTTTCTTTTTAATTCATGTTTTAATTTTCGATTCATATAAATTTTGTGTTCATTTTATTTGTAATTTTATTTTCCGATTTAATGAACCGTTAATAGATCTAGTATTATAGGTGTTGTAATTGTGGAATTTTTTAAAAAATTCGGGTTTGGGTTGGGTGAAAAATTCGGGGAATGAATGGGAGGGGGCGGCGGAATGAAGAGGAGGGTGGGGGCGGCGGCGGAATGAAGGGGAGGGTGGGGGGGCGCGGCGGCGGAATGAAGGGGAGGGTGGGGGGGCGGCGGAATGAAGGGGAGGGGGGGGGGCGGCGGAATGCGGGGAGGGTGGGAGGCGGCGGGGAATGAAAGGGAGGGGGCGGCGGAATGAAGGGGGCGGCGGGGAATGCAGGGGTGTAGAGAGGGGGTAGGTTTAGGGTTTATGGTTGGGCTTAGGGTTTGTGGGGTGTTGGGCTTAGGGGTTTAGGGTTTGGGGGATTGGGTTGGGTTTAGAATGTGGGTTTAGGGTTTGGGGGATTGGGTTGGGTTTAGAATGTGGGTTTTTTGGATTGGGAATTGGGTTGGGTTTAGAATATGGGTTTTGGATAATAAAATGTAGGGTTGGAATTTTGAATGTATAGGATAATTAGATTAGAATAATAATATTAATCTGTATTTACTAAAATGTAGGATTAAAATATTTAATAAAAGAATAATTAGATTAGAATAATAATATTAATCCATATTTACTAAAATGTAGGTTTAGAATTTTGAATGTATAGGATAATTAGATTAGAATAATAATATTAATCTGTATTTACTAAAATGTAGGTTTGGAATTTTGAATGTATAGTATAATTAGATTAGAATAATAATATTAATCTGTATTTACTAAAATGTAGGGTTAAAATATTTAATAAAATAATAATTAGATTAGAATAAAAAGAATAATAATATTAATCCGTATTTACTAAAATGTAGGTTTGGAATTTTGAATGTATAGGATAATTAGATTAGAATAATAATATTATTCTGTATTTACTAAAATGTAGGGTTAAAATATTTAATAAAATAATAATTAGATTAGAATAAAAAAGAATAATAATATTAATCCGTATTTACTAAAATGTAGGTTTGGAATTTTGAATGTATAGGATAATTAGATTAGAATAATAATATTAATCTGTATTTACTAAAATGTAGGGTTAAAATATTTAATAAAATAATAATTAGATTAGAATAAAAAAGAATAATAATATTAATCCGTACTTACTAAAACTATTTGTAAATTGTACTAGCCATGGACATTGGATCATCTTCTTCCTCCCAATCTACCTCAAAGAAGCTACGGCAGGGACCCAGAGACAGTAGTTTGTTGTTTCTCCAAAACGCCCATAGGTCACACAATATATTCCATGGTGCACAGTATGATATAGGGATTTCGGAGCCCAGGCGCGTAGATAGCGCCGCGCGGAAATTAATAAAAGATGCACCGAGGTTGACAAAGGAATATATTGAGAAATTTGGTTTTGGACCGTTCTCTAGAGTTGGGTCCATCGGATGTGACCATGCCCTCGCTACGGCTCTTGTGGAGCGATGGCGCCAGAGACCCATACATTTCATTTACCTTTTGGGAGGCTACTATCACACTCCGGGACGTCGAGGTTCTTTTGGGCCTTCGGGTTGATGGACGTCCGATTCAGGACATCACACCACGCCCGATGGTGGTTGGGCAGCCTATTTGGAGAGGATGTTTGGATTTAGGTTCCAGACAGAGGAGTCTAGATTGACGAGTGTTTCCATCATCGAAATAAAGACTCACATAGAGAATAATCCTTTGACGGACCTGTCCCCTGACGATGCACACCTACAGCGAGCCCGTTGTTTTGTTGGATGGCTCGTTGGCGGATTACTGTTCTCAAACACTACGAGAAACAGTTTTCCTCTCGATCTTGTGCATTTTCTTCATACTCCCGAGATTTGCTCGAGTACGGTTGGGGTAGTGCGGCACTATGTTACTTGTACCGCAAAGATGTCCAGTCATCTCTGGCCGCTTCTGCCAAGGCTATTACCGGCTGTGTGATTCTTCTTCAGGTATTTTATCTTTTCATTTCTCTCTAGTTTCATTTTATATTCTCCCATTATTATTGGTGATTTTAGCTAATGATTTCTTCATTCTGAATTAGCTCTGGGCCTGGGAGCGGATTTTGATGGTTCAGCCCAAGATACTGGGTAGGGATCTCGATCTATCTGATTGTCCATTGGGCACGAGGTAATCTTATACATCAAACCTTCGTAAATTTTGACATTTTGATTTGTACTGTCATGTCTCAATTTAATGTTACTTTCTCCGTGCAGGTGGTCCCGCGAGAAAAAAGTTCAAGGTATCACGCGGTTTAATTTGGCCGCGTATCGGGATCAGCTTGCAGTTCTCGCAGAGTCTGATGTTAGTATTCTATTCAATTAGTATAACTTATGTTTTATTCGTTTTTTTTAACGGTGTCGAACTTTTAATTACACGTCTCTTACTTAATTACCATTGCAGTTTGTCTGGATGCCGTACACGACTCTTTTGGGTCGTATTGCCAGGGTTTGTCTTGTGGGACAGGGCATATGGCGATCTCAGACATGGCTCATCTGCGGTGATGTCGTTGCGCCACACAACCCCAGTAGGGTATTTCGCCAATTTGGTTATCACCAGTGGATACCTGGCGACGCATTACTTCTCACTGCGGCGGAAATTACTAGCCTGCTCAAGAGGAAGCCGTTTGGAGGATCCGATAGGAGATGGTTACAACAACTAGGGATATATCTCCAGGTTTGGAATGATCGCCACGGCCAAGTTGTGGGGACTGATGATCTTTATGTTGGCGAGCCTTCCGCAGATCCGGAGTATCTCTTGTGGTACCATCAGGTTACTGTGAAGTATGTTACGGATCCGACGGACTCTGAAAATGCGAGGGGTTTTCACGGTTCTGCAGAGACCTTGCGCCTCATGGTGAGTATTTCGCCTACATCCATTTGGTTCTTTTTATTAACACTGTTGTCGATTTATGATTCTTTCTAATAAAAATTTCAGGCCACATTGATGGAGGACGTTCGTAGTCTGAGTATTATAGGCCAGCGTACTTTCGACGCGGACTCCTTTGGTTATGATCGCTTAGGCGAGATTGCCCAGGTTGCTGAGCGGGCGTTGTCCGTCAATGCAACAAATGTTGTACGGCACGATCTCGATAGGCATGTTGAGGTTCATGACATTTTGAGTCAAGAACTTGCACCTGTGGACCCGACCCAGCAACATCCACCACCCAGACCTCCGAGGCGTTCGCGCAGGTCTCAGCGTGGGCGTGGGGGGCAAGAGACAATCACAACATCTCAGCCACATCAGTCCTCCCAACATGAGCAGTCTCATATTCCCTTCACTGGCGGTTCATCCCATCGGTCTCCACATCGTCTCCACTCCATTCTCGACAAGATTCAGCCCATCGGTCTCCACATCATTCATCCCATCAGTCTCCACATCATTCTTCGCCGACCCATCAGCGCGTTTTACCGTCCGATTATGTCTCCCAGCCCCAAGAGTCAATTTTTCCTTCACTCGCTTTTCCTCCCCTCGACTTCTCGGCGTCGCTTGGAGATTCTTTTATTGACTTTTCGGGTTTCAGCAGAGTTCGCTAGATGGCCAATCGATACATTACACGAGTAACTTTCTTTCGAGTATGTTCGAGGGTGTTGCGGGTCAGCATCAGGCTGATAACCCAGCTGAGGGTGAGCGTGAGAGTCAGGGTGAGGATGAGGCTGAGGATGAGGCTGAGGATGAGGATGAGGATGAGGCTGAGGATGCAGACCAGGATGATCAGTTTGAGGGTCAGGGTTATCAGCGCCATGAGGAGCAGGGATCGAGTCAGACTCTAGGGACTCCACCGTTGGCTGTGAGTAAAGGCCAGAGAGTGACGAAGGAGCCCGATAGATTGACTTATAGCCTTTTTCGGGCTAAAAAGCCCAAGAAGAAGTAGGGTACTAGACTTCTTATGTAGTATTATTAGACTTGTATTTTTTTTTCCCTTTTGTTCATTTCTGTTTTTTTTCCTTTTGTTATGACTTGTTTTATTTTTTTTTACCTTTTGTTATGACTTGTAGTATTTTGTTATGACTTGTATTAATATTCTTAATAGTTTGATTTGACCTGCATCGTAAATACAATAATTAATATTTATAAAACACATCTTCGCCGATCAAATCGAAACACATATTTAAACTTTCTTATATTTTTTTTCATAATTAATAGTTGCTTCATCTTAAGTGTTGGTAAATTAAAATAAATATTTAATAAAATTTATTCTTATTTTAAGCTTTTTTCTTATATTAAAACCATCATAATTAATAAAATTAATTTGTAAATTAAATTACATCTCATTAAATCCATAAAATTACGTCATTATCATTATTGAAAATTTTTCATATAAAATTATTTTTTAAAATAATGATTACATTTTTAATAAAAATTTTTAATATAATCATTATTAATTTTTTTTATATAATGTTCTAAAAAATTAATACATTATAATAACTATATCATACTTTTAATAATTTATATTTAGTATAGCTCTATTTTATTTAATGAGTATCAATTATAATATTATATTCTTATTCAAAATTTAATTTTCGTATTATTAAAATTATCAATATAATTTTCCTCTTTATAGCTCTATTCAAAATTTAATGATTAACAGTTATAATTTTAAAATTTTCTGTTACCATTATTCAAAAATAAATTTTTTTTTTAAGTCAATTTCCCTATAACGTTTTAAACTAGTCAAATTAATCATATTTTTATGCCTATTTCTTTTTTTATTAAATAAAATGTTTTTTTAATTGATTTCGCGTTTTCAAAACGCGAAATCTTGTTGATTCAAGTTAATTAATTAGGATTATGTTAAATTAATTTTTTCTCCTTCTTTTTCGCGTTTCAGAAACGCGAAAAGTATACATTCGCGTTTTGAAAACGCGATTTTGTGTTTTTAGCGTTTTCAAAACGCGGATTTTGATTTTTTCGCGTTTCTGAAGCGTGAGAAAACTATTTTTGGCCACAATTTAAACCCTAAACATATTTTGTTCTTCATTTTTTTTTTCAGTTACTAATAAGTAAATTTTCCGCTTTTATACTTCCTAAAAGTATAACAAATCAAGTAAATAGAGTTTGTAGAGAGCATGTTTGGTGGTTAAAAGAGAATGGGAGGAGTATGCCTTTGGTCAATTGGAATTTGGTTTGTCGTGCAAAGAAAAATGGTGGACGGAATATATGAGATGCGCAAATATGGAATTAAGCAGCATTGATTAAGCAACTACGAAATCAGGCCTATCAACCTGATAACATGTGGGTGAAATGGATGCATGGGGTGTATTTAAAAGAAGAAACTGTGTGGGATAGGCAACCAAAGCTGGATTCCTGTTGGCACTGGAATAAATTGTTAATGTTGAAGGACATGATTAAAAGTGAAGTGGAAGGGAACAAATGGAAGAATCCTGTTCCTGGAAAATACACTATTAGTTCTAGATATAAGTGGTTAATGGTAGATCAGCAGCCATGTCCAGCTTCTGTGTTTATTTTGTTACGTTATAATGTGCCAAAGCATTCAATTATTACCTGGATTTGTTGGAGGAAGAGGCTATTAATCAAGGATCGAATCAGTAAAATCATGTTGGCAGTGGTTGATCCTGTCTGTGTTCTATATCACCAGAGCCAGGAAGATGCAAAGCATTTATTCTTCTACTGTAGTTTTTCTATTGAAGTTTTGAATGCAGTGAATCAGTGGCTTCAAATCAAGTTACATTGTAATCAGAATGGATGGAGAAGAAAAAGTGTTTGCATTTGGAGAACTTCAAAATTGAAAAAGGAAAGTGCTCTTTGCTGCACCTAGCTGCACTGATATATCACCTATGGGAGGAGAGAAATGCCCGATGGTTTCCTGGAAAACAGAGAATTGGCATTCAGCTTGTGTAGGTGATCAAACATGAGGTGTATTGGAGAGTGCAGAATTATCTTTGACAGCCATATATCGGAGCTGAGCATTGAACTAGTTGTTTTGAAAGTTGTATATGTCCATGTTTTAGTTTGAAGCTTAAGTGGTAGTTGTAGTAGTGTTTCTTTTGGTTGTAAATGTATGCTTTAAAGAAAGTAATCAATATTATTTACATTTTCACCAAAAAAAAAGTAAACAAAATCAAAGTAGCGACTTTTGTTTGTTGGCATTATAGCATGGGTGTAGTATATTTGGCAAAAATCAAAATATTTCTATCTTTTCGAAGAATGTCAAGACGGTTAATGTGGTTTTTGCCAAAATTAAATAGGAATTAAAGTGGACGATGATCAAAGTAAAACATGAGTCTTTATTTTGATAGAGTGCAGTATTATAGAATGTAATAAATTTAGAAATGAAATTTCATAAAAATAAATAAATAAATGGGGAAAATAACTAAAACATAGTCATCCTTCACTCAAAAAGGAAAAAAGAAGTTCTTCAAATTTAATTTTGTCCCAGAAATATAGTTCCATTTGAAAAAAAAAAATTAAAACTAAGTTTGGTAAAATGACTAAAACATCCTTAATCCAACCACATCAAAGTAAAACACAAACTAAGATCTTTGTTGTGTGAAAATACCAAGCCGGCCGGAATATGTAAGAAAAAACAAAAAAAAAAAAAAAATGAAGCAAAAAAACGCCCAACAAACCAGAATTTTCAAGTTTTCTGGTATCGAAACAAACTACCAAGTACCAACCTGTTATTCAAAGTGTTTGCGGCGGCAAGTATTTTGGGGCTTAGGGTGCTTAGAGAGATGGTGATTTTTTTTCTCAGATGATTTAAGACTTAGACGTTACTGAACTCATTGCTCTACGAAAATCATCATCTTTGTTATGAAAGGGGAAATCCAATTTCCTATCAATGTAAATGTTAAATAAAACATTACCATATTCGTATTACAAGTGTTTTTTGTTTTAACTAATCTATATTTTCATTATGAATGAACCATTAAATATTTACAAGTTATATTTTTATTTTCATAGAAATTCATAAAATAATAAATAAATTCGCTTTCTCTAATATATAATTTCAATTTGTGTTTGTTTACCCCGTAACCATTTATGATAGACTTCATTTTCAGTGACTTTAACTACATTAGAAAATTGCAGAAATGGTTTTAACGTTCTTAATGCATTATTGCCAAATCCCATCAATAAGTTCTTGGACTTATAATAGAGTGTATCTGATCACACTTATTTAAAAAATGTCTAACTGCCATTTATAATAAATTACTAAATTGAAGAAAAACGTTGACTAAATGCCTCGTAGAAAAATCTAAACTCAAGTCCTATGTATCATTCCTTTCTGGAAATAACATAATCTTTAGCACGAAATCATCAACTTACAATTTACTAGTAAACACAAAACACATTCCTCATTATCTTAGAAACAAGACAATAAATTTACAAAATCTACACATACAACTAGCTACATTTCAAAATACAAATACAACTTCTTGGTTGATCCTTTTACCACTTGGAAGAATCAGACAGTAATCGAAGTCAGTTCCAATTGTGAAAGAGAAGACTACATTATTATTAGTTTAGCAAAAATTATTATAATGTAGGAAACAAGAATTTTTCGATCCCAAATGATTTGAACTAAAAACAAAAATCCAATATGTGCAAATGTATTTGCTCGCTTCTGTAGACTGAGAGGGAGAATACTTTATACATGGAAGAAGGCAACACAATGTCAATAATTAACCGTCAAACTAACATCTTACAACGTCGAGAAAATCCAAAGGGCGGATAAATTTGCCATCAACTTAAAATTATCTTCTACCTAGACGGTTCTCTCCATTAACTCCAAGGCTCTTCTCGACACTTCTCGTTCTTTTCTCCTTTTTTCTGCTGCATCTTTTAGATCTTCGTGGATTAATAATTTCTTCGGAGCATCTCTTCTTGGAGGCTTTTTCAACGTCGCCGTGGTGTCTGGTTTCACGTCATCTTTGGGAGAAGAACATACCTTATAAGATGATCCAATTTCGCCACATTGTTCGGATTTATTCATGCCCATGTTCTTCTCCTTCAGCTTCTCTTTCATTAATGGATCTATATCTGCCTTCAGGTTGCTTTTCGATTTGCCACGCCATTAGTCTTATACGACACCCTAAAATCTTCATATTCAGGGGAAGTCATACTACTGGAAATTTTGCGCTTTCCACTTCAAATAATTGAAATATGGAAGGCAGAGTGTTGTTAATATTATGCTCTAAATATGTAACACCATATTTGCTTGTATTTTCTGGTAACTAAACATGGAAGCAAAGTTAGTCGTTTCTCAGCCATTGAAACATTTAGGGAGTTCAGCAAGAAGCAAATTTAAAATTGGGAAATCTCTGCCAGGGATCATTCGCGCCTCAATTACACACGCTACTACTTTAAGTTGCTTTTAAGCAAATCTCACTTCCAATACAGCTTCCCATACTCCTTCATAGTACTATTATTTGTTATAAATAGACAAAAAATCAATCACAGTAAAACATACAAACAATACACCAATAAAATTCTGGCCAAATGCGTGATTGATGAACGAAATATCTAACTTTATCATCAGATTCTAGCCGTCACTTGAGAATTGATCAAATACCCGCAAAAGATTTTGCCTTGTCAATTTATGGCAAACAGTTTACCTTTTCAATCATGGACTCCAGTAGAAGGCAGAAGAAAAACTTGGCGACAGTCATCAACTGCTTAGAGCAGTGGCAGGAAAAGGAGGGAGAAAAAAAAAAGAAAAAAGAACTGATCAGCTAAGAATTTCTTTTTCATCCTTCCCACTTTGCTCGGCTTCATCTTTGCTGATTCATTATTCTTCCGGTCTCATTTCTCCGTCGACCAACCTCCAGACTTAGCAGCCGCCTTTGAAGAGGTTTTGGCTTACTGAAGTGAACTTTCATGGTCGATACTCGCAAATCTTTCTTGCAATTAGGAGAATTATTAGTATCGGAAGATTTCATCGGATTATTCTCCGTACTCTGATGAGGTTTCCAATCATTCACCGTTTTCGTAAGTTTCCTTAACTCCCGCGCCGGAGTATTTTCCAACTCTCCGGCTCGGAAAATCCCTAACTTCTTGAAGAATTGTTTTTCTCTCCAGGACAATTACTCACGTATAATCTTGTTCACCTCCAAATAATTTTCCGCTGAAGGAGCAGACATCATCGTCTGTATCGATGATGTAGTAGCCTTCTTCTTCTCCATAAAAAAAAAGGTATCCATTGACCAAGACTGAAATTAGTTTTTTGTTCAGTGTTCAAATTAAATTTCAAAAGCAGCCTTGTATTATTTTCAAAAAATGTACAATTTTCCAGAACAAACTACTTTGGAAAATACACAATATTTTATACCTTAAGAAATTTTATGCAGTTATTACTACATTAACATTTATAATATTATAACACATTATTTTACTGTTTTCAATATTAGTTTACAGTAGGAGAGTACAATTAAATAAAATAGCACAACCAATATGGCTCACAAAAACCTATTTAGTTTACATGTAATCCACTATTGCACTATTCACATCTTTGATGGAACATTATTTAAAAGTTTCCAAATAATTTTTGAACCCACTCACAAGTTATTTACAAAGTTATTTATGGGCGTCATTTAATAGGTCCAAAGAAAATTAGCAATATATCATAAAATTTTCCATAGCAATTTGACCAGTTCAATACTTGTAATGTGTAGTTATTGTTTGAATTAAGGAATTAAAAAGATCAATATCGATCTATTAAAATCAAAATATTGCCTTGATAACTAACCCAAATAGATGGCACACAATATTACAATATATATATAATCGTCAAGACAATAGCTAGATCTCAGTGAGAGGAGGGTGAAAAAATCGTGGAATAACAAAAGCATGAGCCTGGGTAGAGCAACGCCATTTGTAATCTTCTTACATTATTGATTTGGAGAGGTTGTTGTTGACATCTTTCTTGTTTTTTTTTTTGTTTTTTTTGGTTTTTGTTTTTGTTTTTGCCTTTTGTTTTTGGCATGTTCCCTTTGAAATGAAATTGAGATTATGCTAGATGATGCTTGGTTGTGACTTTTCGTAAGACTGAATATTTTAGTGCCTCAAACCTTTCCCGAAGAATCCATTTATGAAACAATCTTTTAAATAATGATTAAGAAGAATATGTATTGTTAAGAAATGCTACAAAGATAAATATGTAAGATGATTGTAAGAATTTTAATGACAACATCACTCAAACATCATCAATGATAGAGTTGTGTCAATTATAGTAATTTGCGAGACACTCAGAAAAAAAAGCACTTATAAAAACAAACACCTTGAACAAAAAAATAGCATCCATTTACGACATATAAGGTTTATTTCAGAATTGGATACAACTCAATTAATGCCTTAACATAACAAAAAACAAAAAAGAAAACGATAGAGAGAGAGAGAGAGAGAAATAAAAAGATATTACAACTTCAACTGGAGATAAATAAGTACAAATTGATAATACACATTATTCCAAAGCTTTATTAAGACGACTTCTACCAATACACGAATCAAGACTCATCGTGATCTTCCTCGATATAAGAATCAGGCTCATTGGTAGGTTTTTTGGGGACAACAAAGGTGACCAATACTTCGTGGATATTGGGGTGGGTCTTTCCTCGGAGCAAATGTGATACTAAAGTGACCAACGGCGTAGATATTATGAATGCCGCAATGAACCACAGTAACCTGGCCAACACGACCCTCAGTGACATCCACAGTTCCTTTAACGTGCAGATGATAACACTATAAAGTTTTAGAAGGCATTTTCTACTCATTTTTACTTAGAATTAGGTGTCAATTGGATAGAATTAGTTTACATTTGGG